GACAACTATACAGCCAATGACATCGGGCGCATTGAGGGAAAGTTCGCAAAAAATCCTCAGGGCGCTTCAATGTCACAGTACGCTTGGATCATCTAACCCCCGAAAGTCTCAACTGTACCACCCCTGACAGCAGCTTTGTCATTGATTTGCCCTAGTACCATCTCGTAAGGTGAAGCAGAGGATCGTAGTATTGATCTCAGCCAAAATGATTTCCGCATATGGGAGGAACCCAAGAAACTGGGTTCTCGAACGTCCGGTTACTCAAGTCTATCAGATGCAGATGGACAATGCCAGAGTTGAAGCGTGAGATATTGATGTAATCAGTGAGCATAGGTGCATCAACGAATGCCCCGAAACAGTATAGGGCTTGCTTGAACGTTGATTCAGTATTTGAATAGACCCACGGGAGTAGAACCACCCTCCGATGCCATTGACCACAGCCAAGAAGATATAAGATGCCGTCAGTCGAGAGGTGCTCGAGAAAACAGCATTGTAGAGTGAGACGCTGCATAGGGCCAATGCTCCAAACACCCCAATGACCAGCATTCGTTCTTTCTTCTCTCTTGGCCAGGTTATCAAATAGGTGGCACAGACAATCCCGGCCAGTGTGATTCCCAGAATTACTGAAATGATTTTCCCACTACCAGAATTCTCTAATAGCAAGACCGATACGGACGTCCCCCATATGTGTAGAATAATTCCGATGTGGTCCAACAGGAAGAAGGAGGAAGAGAGCTGCTTCCCCGAGTCAAGTAAGTAATGGGAAAAAGCAGAAGTACCAAAACAAAAGAGGTTGGATAACAGAGAAACCAATGCTGTGATCGCATTGCTTGTTGACGAAGAGCACCGAATTATATGGAAAATAAAGAAAAGCAGAATTCCGCTGCCGCAGAAATGGATTTTTGGGTCGACAGAGCCATTGGTGTGAACGGGCTTATGTTGTAGTGCGCGTCGGGACTCTGAATCGTAACGGCTGGCTTCCATATCGGCAAATCGAATTTTCATTGAGATTTTGTGGCACTCTCGACAGGCGATGTTTTGAGATTGACGGGACAGGATCACTTTAAACAGTCGTAGCGCTTGTGCAAAAAAAGTCTTCCTTGGGTAACAGGTCTTCATTACTTGATCATCCAAAAATTTTGAGGACCTCAACTTTGACACTAATTTAGAAAAGATATAACTGTTTACCCAAAACCTGAGGTGAGCAGATACGAAACTGTGAACATATCTATGCTCGGTGCGGTATGTTGAATTATCAGGCCCATAAGATTTCATGACAGGAAGCATACATTATAGGGATGTGGTTAATGACGGTGGCGTTGGCGGGCAATGACATTGGTGTTGATGGTGTGTTGATGGTGAGGGGAGTGTTCAACTTTCGCGGACGATATGAGATGTATTAATGTACATCATCCATAGTCCGTGAACTATTCCATTTAACCCGCTAACTTGGTGGAATTGGCAAACAGTCTCCGATTCGATAAAACTAGTCAGATTAATGAGAAATATTTTTGAGATTGGCAGGTGTATCACTCGGAATTTTGAGAACACCGTCTCTTTTCCTACTAAATATCCGAGTAGTGGTTTGAGGTTTTGAGTTGATGCTTCACAGATAGTGAGGCTTGTGCAAACTGAAATCAGACATCATGCTGTGAAGAGTGAACCCAATCTTGCATCACGATCACATGGGCATTCAACGGTCGTGGGTTGCTGGCCAAATAGGCCTGAAAACTTGGGAATGAGTCTCTCACCAGGATACTTAATCAAAAGTCCCCTCGACCAACGTGTTGACCAATGCCAGAATAATTAAGAGGAGAAAGAAAAAACTGCCAACAGGTGAGAAACAAAATTATTAAGTTAGTCAATTCGTTGGTTGTACCATCTGGAGATTGTTGCGGAAGACTGGTCGAGCTCCACCACGTGATCTCATTATCTTATCTTATCACCACATGACTATAGGACTCGTCTGGATTTCCTGGGACAACCTCGAAACAAAACGAATCCCCCTGCGTTGAGCGTGGTGAACCATTATCATCACCTGTTGAGCAGAAAGCAACGCCGCAAAAATCTGATTCCTACATATCACTCAAGTTGCAATTGGATGCCTCAACGCGGTGGCAGATTACTTTGCCCGTTTTGACCATGGTCACTAGCCATGCTCACCATCTGTTTCATGAGGGTTGAAGTGCTTCAACAGGTGCCGCAATAATGGGTTGCACAATGTGGCAGACAGTGACATTCGATTGTACCGGCTGTTGGCCATAGGACGTGCCTCCCATTGATCCCACTACAATTCTCTGCCTATTTCTAGTTTCGCGCTACTTGAACGGTACTTTTCTTTGTTGCTCGCAACCAGCTGATGTTGCCTCCCCTAAAACTTCTGCTACCTGTCGGTGCAGACGCTATGAACATACTCCCAAATCCAGGGTATAAGTTGTTTTCCTTGACGGAGAATCGAAAGTGGAGACTTTGTTGGAAATCTCAGAATATAAACCCGAGTCCAGTTTCCAGAACAATGAAGTGAGTTATTTCAGCTACCATGGCTCACGAGTTAGGTTCTCGTGATCGCCACCCCCTCGCCAGATTGCAACGCTACTGTCACATTGATGAGTTCCTAGATACAAGAAGCGCCGGTTGCACCGATCAAACACCGCGCGTGAACGTGAACCGACGCAGGTACGGTAGTGCGATGCAGATCCCTGCGGCGACCCGCGGGACAGTATATCAAGGAGGGTCTATCTTTGGCCCCGGAGAAGAAATCGGAGGGGTCCAGACATGATCCACAAACCCAAACCCGACGGCCGTTAGGGCACAATGGAACAGCGGTCTTTGTTAGTTAGGAGGTATTGCTGGGGCAGGAGACTATTTGGAATATCACACAGAGTTCTGGCAACAGAGATCTGATCCGCGGTTCAGTTGCCCTCGCAAGAGAGTGATTGGTTCTCCGTCGAGGGGAAGCAGCTGCTATCTTTACCTGGCCTATAGAACGTTCTAGAAGCTGTGTCTTCTGTCCTGCACCTTCCTCGCAGAAAGTAGACTCTTCTTGAGCCCGACCCATGTTCTCCATTTGCCAAATTCGATCGCCAGTCTGATATCTCTAGCAGATAGCTTGTAGAAACTATGCTAATTATGCAGGGACAAGATGGTAGATCTAAACAAAGTCTCCGGCGCGCACTAGAGGCCGAGAGACCGATTGGTCCCGACGGCTCACAAAGTTAATTTCAAGCACTCAGCTCATCTCGACCAATCATCTGGCGACCGAGATAATTGACGAACAAAGTCGTTTCCTGCTACAGTGTACTAAGTTTCGCTGGCGTGAGACCTTGGAGAGGGTACCACGAGCTTTCCTCTGAACTTTCGGACTATGATACAGATTTAATCATGCCGCCAATCCAACACTATAGATAAGCTTTCGATCAAGTTTTTCTGACAACCGAATTCTCTCACCGAGCGAGCGTTTCCATGTTCATCGAAAGTTAGTTGCCGAATCGACTTGGGATTTGGTTACTGATCGACGGTCCCGCTTACTAATCCAGGGTCATTGTGACTCTAACGTTTTCCTGTGACCCGAGTCTGCCAGTTTTGGACTGACTCGGAAAACCTTTGCTTGTCGTCAAATATGACTAGTGCGTGGTTCGAAAATAAGTCCTATGCCTCAGCTTCTACTCTACAGATCACTCTGCCTTTGACCACCCATCTAACCGAATCTATTTGAAGATACAAGCAAAGATGATACCTCCAGCTGACAAGAATGAAGTGGGTTTTGAAATTTTACAAAGAACCCCATTGCTATCATGACCTGGTCTTATTCCGAGGACAATGATAGTAATGTGAGACTTTATACACTACCCGCAGCATTTTCCAGGCCGCATGTGACTCCGATGACATTCGCCTGGATTGGAGACAAACATGAAGGATGTGCAAGTATAGCTGATGTATAACAGCACTATAGACGGGTCTGTTTCAAACAGCACACGGAAAAGTGCTCCATCTGACTAGGTTTGACATCTGGGACAATCTTGATGCTGTTGTGATTCCAAGAGTGATTTCTGTTGTTTATATAATTACATCAATGGATATGTACAGCCACGACGGAATTTCTCATGCCGCGGCTTCCTTGCGGAGCTATCAGAGCCGTTCATTATAGCAACTTGTACAAGGATTAGTTATAAAGATAGTTGGCCACTGCTGCTTCGGTATCCCGGTGTAAACCGCGTGTCGACAATCTGCTGCTAGCATGGGCGTTCTGTCCACTGCTATTCAAGCTTCCTGGCTGCACAAATACGGTGCACATAGTCCCACATCGAAGATAAAGATCGAGTTTCTTTAGGCCAACACGGGTTTGATACTCGCGTCGCACGACCTGTGACAGAGACTCAGCTTGTAATGAGTAAATGATTAAAGGTGATAAAGGGAAATATATTTCGTACCTAGCCTGGAGCTTTCTGTTTGACTTGATCCTTTGCCGTCGGTTTCCTCAGCCTCCTCAGCTGTTAATATTGTTTCAAACCATTTGTCAATGTGACTTTTGGCAGAAATTTCGGTTGGGAGGGCTGCCAATGAAGCCCTTTGGCCGGTTGAGTGACGAGCGCCTTTTGATGGTTTTTGATTGCCTGAACGATCAGAAGCTCCGGCGCGTGTGCGACGGCTTTTCCGCAGAATGTGGTATTTCTTCCCCCTTAGAGACTCAGCGCTTCGGGCCACCCGGTGTTGTTCGTAATATGCGTCGGAGCGGGCTTTCCATGATAGCTCTTGATGGGCATCCAGCCAAGAGAGAAGATTCTTCTCCTCCCATTCCGGCCAGCCAGATGCGCTACGCGGTGACATGGTGATGCTCAGGCAAGGTGTAGGAAAGAGAAGAACGGGTGGAGAAGACAACACAATGTGAACTCAAAGGTGCAGATTTGTTGAGTTGAACAATACTTTTATTACCGAGTCAACTGGGGAAGACCCTACCGTTGAATTAAAACAGACTGTTGTTTGATTTTGAGCCATGGCTCAGTCTGGTGAGCTGGTCTTAGGCCCTCATCGTTGACCAGTCCAAACATGTCCTCAATTTTTATTGCACCCTGGGAAAAAGAGGGCTGTTGAGGCACAGGAACGTTGAAGTGAAAACAATGCTGGGGCCCTTCTTTCCTAGCCATACAGCGTAGTCTTACCGCTTTTTTGGAGCATGTGCTTCTAGGCCGCCTTTTCGTACAACATTCGTTGCCTTCTTGTCCATCGTCCACATTGAATCATCTACCAACGTTGGTTTGACAGAAAATGTGGAATTCATATGATTGTGTCAACGATGAAAGTCGAAGACCATTTAGTGAGCCATGGCCTAAGATTCATTCTAAAAAAAAAGCCCCGGTTGTGGAAAGTGTGGGTGGGGATTGATTGACCTTGCGCCCCCCAATGTAAGCAAGCAAAGCACTCAATTCCGTTTCACTACAAATATATATTAAATCCGGTGGACCGTCTCCTTCTATTCTACACTCGACCATAATCGGGAACACTCGCCATCTACTCGTGATTAAAACGCAAGCATGGGTGGAATTCGAAAAGTGTCGCATACTCATCAACGACAGGACTTTCGGAGCAGATTGCAACGTGCATTGTCCTTGTCGTCCTCTGAGTCCGAGAAAGCCAGCAGTCCGTCGACATCCGAGTCAGGCGATACGACAGATGACGAGGCCTTGCAGGACACAAATGACTCTGACGACCAGGAAAACAGCCACTCAGCCGACGAGAGTGAGGAGGCTCCACGAGAGCGGAGAATGAAGCGGAAACGTGATAAAGACTTGGAAACACCCAAACAGACTCAGCTCCACGGAGAAGGCAATGCGGTAGCACTCGAATGTGTGGCGGAGTAAGTATTGAGCTCATCGCAAAATATGACATCGGGATTGCCTGCTGACAACGTCCAGACTCAATACCCGCATGAAGTCAGTTGTGAATGAACCTTCGAGTGAAAGCATAAATCACTAATCTTCTATGCAGGTCCATTGAGAGGTCATCGTACGCCCAAAGCACCTGCAACGAAACCGTTCGCAACGATTTGGCTGATATCTTTGCTCGATTGGCGATCGTGGAGACTGAGATGAAAAAAGTTGCAAAGCAGAGCAACAGCAAAGCGACAGGGCGCCAGAGCACCGGCCGATCCCTGCGTCGGGGCAACGGTGATTAGAGTTTGATTTGTGGCCATGTGGATCGAAGCAAGGCATCAACTCGTGTTGGTCATGAGGTGGATATCTGTACATGGCTCGACTGCAAGAGATCAAATGGAATAAACTGCGAGCAAGCCAATAGAAGCCCGTCCATTGACGGCCGCTGAATATGTCTCGATGGGCTCTATTTCAAATTGACAATGTGTCCACTCCTGTACTATCTTGTCATTGTGCCTTGGATTCTCTTGTTTCGCCAATCTCCGACCAAGGTACGCAACATCTGAGGGCTAGGAGTGAAATAAAACTTAGCGTACCGAAAGGAAGTCCCAAGGCCAACCGAATAGATACTAAGACAATTTAGGCAAGCCTTCCAAGTTCTTTCAGTTCAAGCCTTGTTGACGAGTTGTACTTTTGGCCCATCAGTTCCATACTCAGGTTTGGATCAACGAAAGACTTGGCCGGAGCAACGAAAGTTCAGAGTAGTATTAGATCACACTTTTTTGCAAATAACTTGAAATCGGTCGACAGTATCTCAAAGACGAGAACCTTCTTACATCAACGTTAGCTCTAGAACTAAAGCACTTACAGCTGTCCTTTCCAGACTTTGCGAATGCTGCCAGGTATTTGTCATAAACTACTTGTGTACTGGCTATATGCTAAATAGCCAGCTCTACTACATGAATAACTAGGCCTTAAGAAACATAGTCATCCCTCTAGAGATCCATTTTGGTTGGTTGCAGAGGGTTCCTGCTGATCGGGAAGCGGGACATTCGGTTCGGAGAAACTGAAGGGGAAATCATCGCCCTGAGTAGCCACGCCTCCTTTCTCGGGCCAGTCTTCATGAATGACCCCAGAGCCCGGTAAATAAGATGCCAGTCGTTTGTTCTGGAGGGCATCGACCGTGTTCCAAAATCGAGTGGTCGTCGACACCAGGTCTCCGTGTGCCTGATCTAGCACCAGCAGAATATCATTCCACGGGACCTGGTCCTCCAGAGCCGCATTTGTGGACTCCTGCTGTTGCTGCAACTCAGAGACCTCTCGCTCGACCCGCTGACTCTCGGCTAATGCTGCATCCCGTGCTGTGAGAGCCAGCTGCAATCTCGAATTTTCTTCGGCTTTCTCGGTTTCAAGTTGTTCCAGCAACCGACAATGCTTTCGTCTGTCCTTATCCATTTCTTCTTGTCCTTTTTGAATCTCTTCCTCGATGTTGCTCATCATCTGGAGACATTTTCTATGGGTCACTTTATCATGCTTCCGTCCAGGCTTTTTCGTGATGCAGGAGGCCTAGCATAGTTAGTAGAGCACATCAAGTTATGCCGCCAGCATAGTGTTGGTCAAGAAGGAGTCAGAGCATATGAAAAAGAAGGTGGAGGTTGGTACCGTATACTTGTGCGACCTAGTCACCGGTTTGAGGGGGTTCCGCCCATCTTTGGATCTGGAGGCAGTAGACCGAACGGAATCACACGACGGTACAGCGCGCAGCTGTACTTCGTCAGACCTGTGGCCTGTCTGCTCCCCAGAGGGCTTGTGATGCTTTGCCATGATGGATTGGCTCGATCGTAAAATGAGCAATTATCCAATGGGATGTAGAATGGTTGAAAGAACTATCGACAGTGACGGTCGAGAAGATGATATTTATAGCAGTAGGTGTAGCCCTAGGCACAGACTTGAAATAAATGAATGTGCTCTCCCTCCTGCCCAGCAGCTGTGCCAAAAATAGGGACATAAACCCAATTATTGAGGACTGGGCGTAAGCGCAACACACAAAATACCTTTTGTTTTATCGTGGAGTACGCGATCAACAGTTCCGCACAAAGATGCACGTTGATGCAGACAACACTATCTCATGACAAAATTTCAATCGGTCTCGAGATACCACCCAGATGCTATAGGGCTCAATATTATCTACCAAAAAACAATATTTTGTGACTGTCGCCGCTCCGTAGATTGAAACTTGGAAACTGCGGCGTTCTCGCAATTCTAATATTTACGTCCGCATATATATGGATTAAAACAAGGGGTTACTTGTGATTACACATGAGTTTCGATTGGCAAGTACATGTATCATTGACCATTGTTTCCTCGATGTTACTGTGGAACAACTATAGATGCATTTCTTGCTAGTTGGGGTATTCATCAAGAGACACTACTGAGGCGCAAGGATCCGTAATTCTACCACCAAAGCATATTTGTAGCAGAAACCAGAACTTGCCTTGATACTGCGATGAAATTGACAGGTCCAAGTATGTCGTTGATTGGACGAAGTTGACTATCACTTCTGTCCTCAATAGACCGAATATCTCATTGACTGGAAATTTCAGACACAACATAGCAATCACAAGTAAAATCCACGAAAACCAACCAAGCTACAATTATCCTTCTAAGCTACACACGTCATTGGTCTCAGCATATATCATTCAGAAAATAGTGTCTGTCAAGCACCCGGCTCGAGACTGCTATTACTCATTCGCCGGCGGTCTTCCTTCAAAAAGTATTGATAGATTTTCTTTGCTAAAACATTGGCGCCGACTTGAATCTGGATAAGCCTGTTGCCAAATGGCATCGCGTATCACCGGTGGTATGCACGCTATGCAATGGATGACAATTGGCATCTTCGGTGCGCTTTAGCATATCATTGATCCGTTGTCTGCACTTTAGCCCAGCTCAGGCCGAGCTCTTTACCACATGAGCCACAATGGCTGATTATCGGCTCCCATGGGTGTCAAGTGCGATATCAATTCCTTCTGTTTGCAACGAACTCAATTTCTGTATTGCTCCAGCGATACTCACTCTCTTTTGCCTAGCTCATCATGCAAGTTCTTATTTTGCGACTGGAGAAGTTGAATGTGGTGGCGAAGTTCATTGGCCTCAGACCGGAGCGTTTGACCTTCGCCAAGACAGTCATCCAGTCGAGAACGAGTGCGTCCTAATTCCTCTTCTATGCAGCTGTTGGTAGCCTTGAGCTCGCAAATCTCCGCCGTGAAAGAGCCATCCACTATTCCTTCACTGAATTCCTGTGCCTTCATGCTCCGTCAGAAGGGCTATATTGAAGAAACACCTGGCAAGGGGCTCACCTCATTAGGAAGGCCGCCAGTATTGGACTGCGAGGTGTCCAAGGACTGCGGGTTGACAGCCTCGAGTGAGCGACCTAGCTCTCTGCAAATCAACTGGTAAAGTCTGGTCGAGCCGCTGCTTAGACTGGATTTGAGCAAACCAGCATTCGTTCTCGCGACGGACCAAGCGTATCCATCTTCAGGCCGTGGTTGAAGGCGAACTCTTTCGGGGGCGACGACAAGGCCAAGTCGGTCATCTAAGAGGATTAGCTGGGTTGGTAGGCAAAATAGGATTACAAATACATATATGAGCCGCCAGGGCTTCTCGACATTGCTTTCTTAGTTTGAAACGCTTTTCGTTGCTGCTTTTAGACATTGTGGTGTAAGTTTGGTATCTATGATTCAGGGAGATCCCGCAGGTATTTATGCTTAGGCGACCGATTTGCACCAAAGACTAGCTCGATGTAGGATCGATGATTCGTGCTCTGCTCAGGTAGAAAGTGTTGCCCATGGGTAGGGCGCCCCACTTTCCCAGTTGTCGATTTCTATTGGATGAGATCAAAATTTGTGATGAAACCTGGATTAGTTCCGGATTAGTTGAGAATCAGTTGCAAGTTATTAGACAAAATCGGGACGCCCCATGTTATAGACACGGTCAAAGTAATATATGAGGTGCAAGATGATTCAGGCGCTCTAACCAAAACCCAGTAAGACTTTTCACCTACTGAGGCCTCATGAACTAGACGCGTGAACACAACCGCGACCCTCAATTTCTGCTAATCATCACTTTAATAGCGATTTGGTAGCAAAACAGCAGAACATATTTAGTTGGGTCCTCTTCACGCTGCCTCACATTCCTGCCTTCAAAACTCCGGCGGAACCCATAGTGACTTGATGGCGGGTTGAAAACTGATGCCACTTAGCAGACTGTAAGGTTCATTAAGATAGTTCTCAAAATATTCACCATGGCATCTGAGATGTATAATGGACAGGGTCAGGTCGATGTCATTTCCCTTTGCCGTTTCTCTGTTCGGATGGCAAACACTGCAACAGTTCGCCGGCTGCGCCACCAAAACCTAGCAAGCGAGTGCGATCTGACGCCATTGCTGTGTGACTTCTCAAAGCTTCCATCATCAAAGATGGCCACTCGCCATGATACAAATGCCGGTCGCAATATTCGCGCTGACTCGCCGAGCCCACCTTCTTCGCGGCGAGCCAACAAAATCCTTCGAGTAAGGATTCATCATCGACCCCATGGCTCGCGTGTTACGCTCCTAGCAGGACAGCTTGGCAAATCCCAAAGAAAGGGCGCCAAAAAAGGCTGGCGCCAGAAGCGAGCGGTTTCCGAGCGAGAGGCAACTCGATTGGATTGGATGCGACGACTTCGTCCCAAGCCCCACAGACGTTGTTAGGTCAGGCAAATACAGGGCACGCATGAAGACCCAGTAGGTGGCATATCTCAATGTCTAGCTTTGTCCGTGCGTTAGTTTATATGAAAATCTCTCTCAAGAAATGAGTATGAATTGGGTTTACCGTGCACGATAGATGAGCCCGTCAAGAGGGACTCTCTTTTAAGAACCTCATCGTGCCAGGGATTTTATCGATTGGTACATAGGGCGGTTCGGAATCAGTTCCACTATCCTGTTCTGTTTCATTGTTTTGCAAGCACTATCTTTGGTGGCGCCAGTCTGAATGTAGTTAGTAAAGATAGGCCTCGATCATAGCCTTTTTCCTATTCGACAGTTCAAGATGATCTAGGGTATAGATTAAAGTGGGTCTGGCCAAAATTCAAGAATAAGCAAAAAGAACGCTGACATTCGATTTCTCCTTGTCATTCCAGAAAACCCGCTGTCCAAGTGGTGGAAGTCATTGCGAGCGGACCTGTACATAAAATTGAGAGCCGGTAAGAAGATCCTTGCTCTACTTTTGTGGTGTATTTCGTAGATAGTTGCATATCGAAAAAGAAAGGTCTTGGAGATTGAGAACACCATTGAGCTGTAAAAAGAAGTACATTGCGATCTAAATGCACGATTCTGAAAGAGCGTACATGTATTTACAACTTTGTTCAGAAGTGATAACGCTTTATGTAATTAAGCAACCTCAAGCAGTAAGTACTCTACGGTAAATCTCCCGAGTTCGCGGAAGATATAATTTGCTCTAGCTAATGAGAAGGCTGGGTTTCTAATTGTCCTCGAGTCTCCTTGGCGAATTTCTTCACATGTAGGCGGAAAACCATATTGGTTTAAAAGCCTTGCCTGAGTCGCCTTGCCCATGCCCTCGACATGGCGTGATTCATTTGCAGAATACCGAAAGTTACGTCTTCGTGGCTCACTTGGTCAACTGCAAAGAAGATACCAAGGCAAGGATCAGTTCGGTCTGCCGAGTGTCAGTACTGTTGGTAATGTGGGAATGATTGTGATTACCTCCAATGCAAGTATCCATGTCTCACCTAGCATGCCTATGATGGCAACCACAAGCAAAAGGAGTGCTAGTACGGAGAGATAACACGAGATACACCGCAGCTGAGCTCGGCCTAGTGTTGACTGTTGAAACAACCACCAATACCATGCGGCTATACCGAGGTAGTCCACAGAGAGAATAAAAAGGCCACCCAGATGAACAGAGCTGAGGAGAAAGGTTCCAATGAAAGAGAATGCTACTTTAGCCACAGCGGAGACAGCAACAAAATACGGATATATGATGCGTAATGATCGGGGCGTGTTCGGGTTTTCCCGCTGCTGGAAGATTATACGGAGATACTATGGCATGGTTAGCCTAAAAGGAGACTCTTCATAATCAAGTCCCATGCACAGTCCACCTACTGCGTGTAGCGGTGGAAAGATTGAAGTAACCCAGAAGAGCACTTCACCCCATGCTGGTAACCTGTCGCTCCAGAACAACCCGGTGAGAAGAGCGAAGAAAACACAAGACAAGGCACACAAAGCTAAATCGGCTTTGTGCCATGACCAATTGGAGGGATACCGACACAAGACAAATAGTCTTCCGAGGCTGAGAATAAGAAGAACGGTCACTAGAACGGATCTAACGATGTTTTCTGAAATCATGGCCCTGATTGATTGCAGCCAATGCGTTTTTTTGACTGAGCATTTGAGGCTTATATACTCAAACAGAGACAGAATCCTCAATTGGTACTGCGTAATTCCCAGGACCGCTTCATCTGGTTGTAAGATTTTCTTGACGGATAGCGTACTCAACTTCCTGCCTAAACACAATAGCTGCACTCAACCTTTTGGCACTGAAAGACGAATTGAGGTCCCTCAGTTGAGGCTTCGCGGTAGCTTCTTAGTCTTTGTGCGGACACATGAATATACTTCGTGTTGAAGCCTAGGTATAATCTTTGATTCAATATGTATCATGCTTAATCAAACCGTCAAAAGCAAATGACCATCTGAATTTAGCTTCATAACGCAAATGCTGTATCTAGATAGCATTTGGCAGTTGCGAATTACTGCTGCAGAATTTCACTATCCGGCAGTTGTCGAAGAAATGCAGCAGGTTGATAGATATCTGAATACCAGTCCTGCCGCTGAAGTTCATTGTGATTCTTCCAGGTCTCAGTCCCCAAACCCTCCAAAACACAGTGCGTGGTAGGTACGACGCCTGGTGGTCTCCCAAGGCTCTGATGAAACAGCATTCCATCATTTAAGATGGCTGGTTAATGATATAAAGTCCGCGAAGTGAATAAAATGCCCCAAAGAATGGATACATGTAATTAACACTCTCCTTATCAGTTCTAGCAAGCCATGGTTACCTGTCTGTGCCGAAAATCTATTGCCTTATCATCATTGATCCTTTGACTCAAAATGTAATGTAACCCGTGACTTCGCTCTGCCATTGCTCATTTCAGCTCCAGGGGATATCTCTCAGCTCGAGACTGAAACAACAGAGGCATTTATCTGATGGTCCATGTTTTAATCGGAGTTTCATCTTTAGCAAAAGTCAATACGTTTCCCTCTTTTAAAGGGCTTGGGATCGGAATGCAGAATCAGAGTCTACAAGCTTCATTCACCATCGTTATAGTGCTTCGAGACCCGTCGGGACACCATGGAATGCGACAAAATGGATAGCGACATTATAGAGTCTCAAAAGAAAACAAAACACGCGCTGCTGGTTCAATCTTGGAATCTCGTTGTTCTTAATGATGGGTCAGGGAGCCCCTATACCTTGTTAGCCGATGAATGTTTGTTCTAACAGCGCGAAATGGCCAAACCCTGAAACGGTTAAGACTACTCTCTCTCATCTCGCCTACATCTCAATGGGTTTCAGGTAACTGGTGAAAGGGTATTGTTAATTATTTTCCCTGTCTACAGCCTGTCGTATGCAAATAAGCGTCGATCAACATGACGCAAATGACTCCACTATCTCAGATCTGGTTTCATCTGCTCCGAAACTATATTGTTTCAAATTATTCACAGTTTTGCTTGCTTCTATAATGGATGCGGAACCCCAAAACTAGGACAAAGTTAAATGACATAAGGAGCAAGCAAAAAGCAAATTGAAAATAGTATCATCAAACTGGATCAAATATCCCATGTGGTGCAAGTGAAGTAAGTGGAGGTCAGTGGTTGACCCAGGCGAAACACCGGCAATAATCCCTCCATCAGACAACAGCAAATAGGCCTTTACATGTATTGGCCTTTCAGTTCCACTATTGCTCATGACTGCCCGCGGATCGGCATCAAGACATGTAAGGAATTGCTACCTGCACGACCGCTTTGGAATACTCCACGAGGCTGTATGTCAAAACCAAGTACATGCCGTGGAGACTCGGCTGCCAAGACCGGGTTATTCCAATTCTCTCAAGAGGGCGCAAAGCGTAGATAGCACAGCCGAATAGGTTGATAAGCACCAGTCGACCGAATGCAGCGGCCAGTGGGGAGGGAGCGTGGAGCGGCTCCGCTAATGCGTGAATGGTTGGCACCAAGGCCAACAGGCCCACTTACGAAAATTGGAGACACAACCGACCGGGAAACGTCCCAGTATTCTCGTCTTTGAGATAAGCGTCTGAAAGGCTTCCAACAGCGATCACGGTGAAAGCCGATGCGTATCCAAGTTGTAGCAACGGTTGAGCTGGAAAGAGAAAAGCGATCGTCGGAAGTGCTGCGGTCCATAACAGAAACAGACCTACAGACCACATGGAATCTTGCTCCTTTGCCGCTTCTTCCTTGTGCAATGCATAGAAGCCATTCTGGAAGACAACACACAGATACCACAGGGAAATACCTCCACCAAACGCGATGACTGTTAGAGCGTATGGGATTGACTCTTGAGATGTAGGAAAATGAAAAACCAGGAACATCAATAGGTAAACCACAAAGTAGGAAAACCCGAGCATGCCTATGATGGCACCGGTGGCGTAGTTGCGCAGGTTTCGATAATCGACAGTGTCCATTTTGCGAAGTCAAAGTAAATGTACTGGCCGTCTTGGGCAGGATTCTTCGGGTAGGATTCTTCGGGCAAGGGTGTGGTTTTATAGACAGATGTGGAGCTCAGATTGTACTCATTACTGGGAAATATGTGTTTGCTAAGACCGTTGAAGCGTTGAGGTAACGCTTTGTGCAGTGTTGATCACCAGAACGATAAGTGAGGTACCGTCACATTTTTAATGACCACCTCAAAGGTTAGAATAGAGCCTCAGAAAAGAGAATTTTTATGTTGAATTCCAAAGAATTTTTTACTATCAACGATATCCAAACTGTTCGACTTCTATTTGTGTAATTGATGTTCCTCGTTATGCAAAGGCAGGGCCTGAGAGTCAAATGGGATTCTTCATTCTCTCTTGCATGATAGCGACTCGGACAAACAAACAGAATGGAAGATATTGTACAGATTGTACGCCAGATCGGTCAACAGCAAGCACAGAATGCTTCTTACCGTGATTGTTATGGCCTCTTCAAGCTACTGTAAGACCTCACGGAGCACGCGTCCAACGAACTACAGCGGCTTCACAAAACCGGCACCGAGCGCTCGAACAATTCTGTCCACCAAGTGCTCCGAAATTTCCAGAACACAAACTGCAACCTGGTTGAAAGGGCTTGCGAAGCCCAAGCGGAATGTGAAGAGTTTTGCTCAGTGAATGCATCATTCTCAGCGTGTGATGTTTTGGAACCCATCAGAAGGATGTACACCGACCCACATGTCTCATTGCAAGGTAGAGATTGACTGTGGAACATCTGGAGCTAGCATCATAGCCTGGGCCGATAGAGGAAAAATTGCTCTACTTGAGTAATATTCACAAAGGTGAAATTTCCGTGTTTCTATCTATTGGCATGAAGACAACAATAATGTATCCTATATACCACAGCAGTTTGAAGGTCATATACTACGTAGGGGCTCACCAACACCCATTTGCATTAGCCAGAGCGACAATAAACGATGCTTTATAGTTGGCTAACAGTCGTCTAAAAGCATCAATGCCTTCGCCCATGTATTTTAAGTGGGCCAAATCACGAAAATCCAATATGGTAACCTCTGGCAGTTTGGAGATTCTGTCAATGTTCTCTTCGAAGTTCTTGCAGGCATTGCCGCATTGCACCACTGGGAAATTCAAGATAACCGAGGCTATTCTCAGGGTGGGCACCGATGCTTTCCCCGAACCCTTGGAGAATTTCCTGCAAGGCCTCGAGCTCCTTTTCCAAGTCACGAGCTTGTTTCTGGCGGGACTTTGCATTATGTATCAAATTGAAGAGGGAAGCACTCCAGTAAATCGCGAAAGTGGTCGATCCAATCAAGCCGGGAGCCGGACTTTGGGGTTCTGCCATAGGGGGCAAAGACAGTGTTCAGCGACAAACTTGAAATATGAGAAAGAGATTTCAAAGAAAGTCTTGGAAGACAGGATTTTGTTATAGGTGGGACATAAGGTTGACTTGAAATAATGGGAAATCGGGCGTTTCGTTTTGTGTTGAAGGGAACGCCCCGTTACCCCGCTCCAAAGGAAAGTGAAATGAGATCGCGACCGCCAGATGATAGCCAATCAGCAACGTTCGTCATGCACTGGGTTGCACAGTCACACCAATGGAGGTCGTGTGTTAAAATATAAGAATTGGTTAGCCGCCAATGTGATACAGTGCCGCATGAACTTCTCGAGTTCACCTACACTACTGAAGCACATGAGCAGTCGCATGTACATCGATTTGTCAGTAAATTTAAGCCGGATTGTGGATGTTAGACACGTCACAGCTTCTGCTCATGCTCCCCCCGCTGAAAATCTACTTAAACCCCTAGTTAGCCTCGCTCAATCTTCCAAATCCACTTTTCGCTACGGCTCGACCAAAGGACTCTACGCATATCTCGCAGTGAATGTCTCAATCAACGATCAATCGGGCGTTAATATCTCATTTCCAGCTGCTATAGCAACCGCCATTTAATCCACAATATCGCTTCATGAAACCGTCAATGGATTCAAAGATCGAAGCCGTTGTATACAAAGGCTTCAGGCCGAGCTTGAAGCCATCGCCAACGCTTTAAATTCGTTGAAAAAAGTGGATAATTTTGCAACGCCAATATTGGCATCTCTTCAATGTCTTTGTCATCGGTGTAACCAATTTTGCTGCGAGTTCGAACGATCGATGATAGAGTGCAGGCGAAAACCAATTACGGGCTTTCAAGATTGGACGAAAATGCGATTCATGGGAGGTGATATATATGAATTTATAGACGCGGTTGGAGGATACAAGTCCACAATCTCAGTCAGTCTAAGCATACTTACTACGTGAGTCGCAATCCTGTGTCTACCAGAGACTCTAGCTTACATCTTTTCATTATAGGCACCCCTCCAAAGTCCCCCATGAAGTTCTTCAACAGTACAATGAAATGACTGAGGACACAAAATATAACCTTGTGGTCCACTTACGACTGGTGGAGGAGAAAGTGCAATTTCCTCTCAAACACAATGCATCAGACATCAATCTCAATTTCAAGGACGAGAAGGAAGTAACCGAACAATGCATTCGCATCTGTGAATATGCTGGGTCTCGTATCGAATTCCCGAAAGCTCGAGACACCATTGCCAGCAACATTTATGTTGGGAAGGCAGTTGCCCTTGGCAGCGAACAGACACTAGTGGCTACTTCCCCGGACCATTTCGAGGTCAGGACAGCAATCCTTAGTGAAAACTCAAGGCAGTTCGTTGGCTCGATGACGGAAGGGGAGATCAAAAACATGTACTGAGAGTATCGCCTGAGGCATTGTTTTGAGGTGGCTGATCCTAGCCAGAGATAATCTGGTCGGTATCGTATGCGTAGATAATGGGATTGTTTTTTCTCAGCTCATTTCAGAGGAGCATGTGCCGTTTTATTTTATAAGCCGTGTTGGGCTTTGGTCTCATATTTAGATCTTCTGGTGTATTACAGCGCTCAGTAGGGGTAAGATGGGGTCCTGGGCTCCCTAGAATAAGACAAGGCTGCAAAAGAGTTATGATTATTGGCGCCATCCTGGCCCGTGTCATCCTTTCTGAGAAGGGATAGCTGTTGACCTTCCCTTGATCCTTCGGTGGAGAACAAGCCTCTATCTGATTCGATGTAGAGCGTTGATCAAGTTATTGGCAGGCACTGGGATGAAGCTCTGAACTCACTCGCAGTATTTATGGAGCAAGCAAGTTCTTTCATTTTGCGTTTAGACTGGTTTATGTGGTTTCGCCTTTCCTGTGCATGACAATCGGTTGGCTACAGGTCGGATCGGAATCAGTTTCACCATTTATCTCTTCCCCATTCCACCACCTTTTAAATTCAAATTCTTTCATACCTAATACACAACCCCAACACCGGAACAGGCGGATTTCGATTTGTCCTGCGACTTATGTTTGAAGTACCCGCTATCATGAATGTCATATTGATCTAAATGGCTGGTGGTTAGCTCAATCAGTCGTTATGTCGCCACCTATACGAGGATGACAAACACCCGATTCCGAGCAGCGTCACCAGCAATTTTATTGTAATGGCAACGCTTGCTGTTCTTACCATTTTCTGTTTGTTGAAAACCAAAATAAGAAACAACACATTGCTCCTATAATGGATTCTCCTTATAAAACAGTGCCAGTTTGGAGTGACACCTGTAGTGCGGAAGATAGGCAAGATCGCAGCTATTCTTACATTCCAGGGGAAATACTAAGTTTGCGCAGGTTTCACATGACCTACCATCTTCTATGCCGATGGCAAACTGAATTGGAGTTCTTCTTATATCAGTTTTGCAAAACATCAGCTCCTGGGCTTATTGATGACTGCCATTGGTCTTGTCCAGAGGCTGCAGAGTTAACCCGGCTTTCCGAAGAAATAACCGAATTCTTTTGTTTTCATCATAAGACGATCTTCAAAGAGTGCGGTATATCAGAGCAAGAGAGGGAGTCATTTTGCTGTGAGTTGCAGGAAATTCGGCAAATTCGTCATTTTGCTGTTCATCGAGTCGATGTGAATGCGGCAACCACCAAAAAGTATGCGAAATACGCGCTCAATGTACTGAGCACAATTAAACGTCTAGGAGGGCAAGACTTCGAGAAAGATCATGGCGAAGCAGTATGTCCAGTTCCATTTTCCTCTCACTACGATAATCGCTCACCTCGGTATGAGTTGCAGTTGGACCGTTTTGTCAATAGTTTTTGGGAAACAGAAGGGCATCTTGTATCGCAGACGTCTTCTCACGATTATCCTTCTCGGCATACAGAGCATCATATTGAACATAATTCAAGAGAAGCGGAAGGGGCAAGATTGAGAGAAACCCAGCGAGCTGAGCACAGTCAAAAGCAGCAAGATGACACTCAGCCCAAGAAAGCCAAGCAGGCTGAACACAGTCAAAAGCAGCAAGATGACACTCAGCCCAAGAAAGCCAAGCAGGCTGAACACAGTCAAAAGCAGCAAGATGGCACACAGCCCAAGAAGGCCAAGCAGGCTGAACACAGTCAAAAGCAGCAAGATGGCACTCAGCCCAAGAAGGCCAAGCAGGCTGAACACAGTCAAAAGCAGCAAGGCGAATCCCGACCCAAGAAACATGTGAGCACAGTTAATATTCAGAAACTTTGTGCATCCTCCAATATATACAAGGGGGAAAGCAAAACCCGCACTCACACAACTTGACAGCTAGTGTGATTGATGCCCAAAGTTGACCGCTCACACGCACCAGCGATGCCGGATATCGAGCTGTCAAGTATCAACCTTGAATACGATTAGACATCACTGGAGTTTGTCACATCATCATCATCATCATCAAGGGGTACCAATCTCAGATTTCGATTCAACCGTGAATAAACCACCTCGATATTAAAAGCCAAACTAGAATAATCTCACCAAGTTGACGATACACTGGTTTGTGTGCAAGTGACTAGGCGACTACTTCCGCTGGCGAGTAGGACGCTCAGCTGAAGATAGCCTAACCAAGACTCAATTGGAAGAAATTTCCCACCTTGAGGCATGGGACCGTCCAACTGGGTCTTGTTTCGCAGCAGAGAAAACAGAACTCATTCATATTACCAGGAAAAAGCACGAACGGCTCCAGCGTCGAGTGGTTATGAATGGGAAGACAGTCGCACCATCGCCTACAGCCAAGCTGCTGGGGGTAGTTTTCGATCAGGAGCTTCGCTGGAAGGACCACGTACAGCAAGCGTTCAAACGCGCAACCAAGGTCAGTATTGCTTTGGGCGGGCTACGGCATCTACGCCCAGAACAGATGCGACAGCTCTACCAAGCCTGCGTAACGCCGGTCATAGACTACGCTTCGACAGTCTGGCACGACCCTTTACGAGACAAGACCCACCTACGACACTTAAACACAGTGCAGAGAACCGCATTGATTCGCATTTTATCAGCTTTCAGGACGGTGGCCACTACAACCCTGGAAGTAGAAGCACACATTCTACCAACGCACCTCCGTCTCCGCCAACGAGCGCAGAACACCATCGCAAACCTCCACACTCTGCCGCGCGACCACCCCATTTGGGATGCACTGCGGCGAGCCCAGAAACGTAGGAACAAAGTCGGGTCGTACGCTCGTTTCCCACTGGCGGAAGCTCTGAAGACTATGGATCTAGCAAGATTAGATGAACTAGAGACGATCGACCCACGACCGCTACCGCCGTGGCGATCCGAGTCCTTCACGGAGATTGAGATCGGGTCAGACCGAGAGACGGCAAGAGAACGGGCTGAGGCTATTCGATCCACATCCGCCATCGTGGTCTACTCTGATGCTTCGGGGCATGAAAGCCACCTAGGTGCCGCTGTCGTTTCACTCGACAACAACCTAGAGGTCATCGAATCCCAGCAGGTTCAGGTGGGACCGATGGACCGGTGGTCGGTTCACGTAGCAGAGCTGATAGGCATTTTTTACGCTGTCAGTACAGTGGTCAAGATCAGCCATCAGCGGCCAAGAACGGAACATAATGGAACAACAAGGGCAACGATCCTCTGCGACAGCCGATCAGCCTTGCAAGCAATCCAGAACCCAGGCAACAAACCAGGACAACGCATCGTTCACGCGATCCTTCAAGCAGCCACAGAGGCTCAAGCAACGGGAATCGCGCTCCGCCTCCAATGGATACCCGGTCACTGCGACAACCCAGGAAACGACGCAGCAGATCGGCTGGCAAAGGACGCGGCAAGCCCGGGCAAATCACATCCCTTCCGCCCTCTGCTGTCAAGGACGAAGGCGCTTATTCGCGACAACATCCGCGATCAGTGGAGGCGGGAGTGGGAATCATCTAACAAAGGCGGTCACCTGCGGAAGATCGATAACACTCTGCCGGCGGCCTACACCAGGAAGCTTTATGGGAATCTGCCCAGTCGGGCCTACCTGCTGACACAGCTTCGCACGGGCCATAATTGGTTGTCCACCTTTAGGAATGCCATTGGCTTCCGCGACGACGATCACTGCGCGTGCGGCGCACAAGAAACAGTCACTCACGTCCTGGTGGACTGTCCAAAACTGCAGGAGTTGAGAAGAGAATTAAGAATGAAGGTTGGGGACGCGTTTAGCAGCTTATCGAGTCTGCTGGGAGGCTCTAAAGAAGGTGAGAAAGGTAAACCAGACATCGTCTCTCGGGCTAGGACGGTCACAGCCGTGCTTGACTTCGCCGAGGCGTCACAACGGTTCAAAAGTCGCGCGCCATGAGGGCAGCCTAATAACGTGAACGGCAAATAGGCCACGATAGGCCTTGACGAGGCTCTAAGTTCGTTTTCAGGAAGTGGAACATCACAAATGTACATACACGGATATATATAGTTGTGATAACCTGCATATCGCTTTGCGAGGGGTCGGGGTAAATGAAATCATCCATCCATCCATCCATCCTGTAACTTACATGTTCATCATGGGTGGTGTGTTTGCAGGTATCAAACCCACCATCACAGTGATTCTTCCCGAACAGTGATATGCCAAATGTTATTCAAAGCGCATTGTCTGACAAATAATTGATGCTCAAGGGCAGTCGACGTAGGGGAAGTAGAGAATGCGGGCTGCCTGTGCGCAACCTGTTAGGAAACGACCTCGATGGAAAAAGAACACAAGTGGTCAGCTTGACTAACCTGTAGCTCTGTGACTTGCAGGGTGAATGATCTTTGCACGTGCTGCTCCGGGTTGGATAGAAAAGCGCGCTTAGGCATCAAGTATACCAAAATCTGTCCAAAGACACCACAAAATTTCTGACAGCCCTTTATGCAGCATCGTGCAAGTTCGATTGGTTCGTTTCCGCTCGTTCGTCCCCACCAGCTCGAATACGTCGAACGACTCAACAGCGCGGAGTAGGATCATGTAGGACAGTATGGATCGGTGATTCGTAGCTCGTGGCTCTATATTTGGCTCGACTACGCCTCGGGATCAAACGTCTCCATTCCCAGTTCGTAGCTGATATGGTCATTGTTCATCCGTAGGCTCGAAACCACGGGACTCTTGCCTCGCCTCGTCCTTGCATGTAGACTTGGACTAACGATCTGGCCATCTGCGAAGGTATGACTCACTTGCCACGAAGCAAGACAAAAGGACGCTAGTAATTCGATCCACGAGGCTGCTATTTCCTGGTGTTCGAATGCCGAAACAGACGGTGGTTTAGCCCATTGTGCCTTGGACTTTGTATCGGGTAGACACATCAGCACATGACTGATGCACAGAGTCGACTGAGAGAACGGCCGAGACGATCTGGGCCTTACATTGGCTCATCGATGCCACCAAATTTTATGTAGAAATGATAGACAGCATGCGGTCGCATCGGTATAGGGGAGCTCGAGCAGATATGGCTTTCACTCGCTTCGCATTCGACTCGAGTGATGGGAATATAAGCGGCGTCCTAATTTAGGATCCAAGTCAGCAAGGCTCACCACTTGGACGAGTTGTTATGACTTGCCTTTCATAGAGTTCGCAGGGGACACGCTTTGTAAGCTTGAGACGAGATGATCAGTGAGCTTCGTGATCATAGGACCTTGCCAAACAGATCACTTACAAACTTCGGCAAAGCAACACACACGATTCATGCCATGTTGTATTCTGGTCCGTCGCACTCTCCGGCCAATGCTCTAAAAAAGCCGGGCTGTGGCGCAACGCGCATTCTCTCGGGCGGCACAGGCCGTGACAACATCACCAGGCACAAGCAATCATATAGTCGTAATGGATGAAAGTCTCGCAATGCGGACGGCCAGACACTCCGCCATTCATGGAGTGAAAGCGGTGAGGGCGAAGACGCGATGGAGCACGCGTCGTAGTGCTGCCCGCTGGTCTTATCTCCGATCCGTCGATAAGGACTACCCACAAGGATGTTTCACGGGTGGCGATGGGCTGCTCCTATATACAATAGCATGAAAATCAGTATTCGTGTTCACGTTCTGGAGCACAAGAGCCCGCACGAAAACTGACTTAGGGTAGGTGCAATAGTCACTCACATTATCAGAAACAATGAACGTATCAAGCTTCCACGCAGTGAGCCTTGCAATCTAATATGCGCACCTGTTATTGGCCCGTTCATTCCTCACCCAGCGTATGCTGCATGGTTTGAAGCGACGAGATCGAGGTCGTTATGTAGGCCATGGCTTGTATTGGGCACTCACAGGGCGCTATATCGTCGGATCCTCTGGTGCGATGTCAATGGCTCACTGTCATTCATGAGCCTGCAGATCGGAGGCACATATTTCATCACTCACATTTTCTGGTGGTCAGTACCATGGACGAAGGGACGGCAAAGAGCTGTGGTCCTTGCGCTCGTGCATTTGTTCGAATGCACTCGGTTCTAATTAAATCGCATCGTCTTCAGGATCAGCGTGACAGGCCAGGCTAAGATTCAAATACCTGCGACGCTTTGCGGTTGAGGTTTTGCGGGGCCACAAGGGCCATGACTTTGTTCTGACATAGGTCGTCGGGCCGGTTCCCTGCACCGGAATTTTGCATGGCAAAGCCCTCTTTTCAGGAATTGTGGCCGAGTTGGCTGGTGAACAGGGAGCCAAGATATGATCGCCAGCTGCCCACTGTCCTGAGTTCCAGGGTGGTGGGAACTAGGGCATCTTTTGCGGTGAACGGATTGAAAGGACCGCGAGAAGGAAACGGTAGAATCTGGGGAAGAGGAGGCAGTCGGCGCTCTCCGCCCACGTCAGAGCTCACATGCTGGTGGTTGTTTTAAAAGAACTTGAACTATGTTAGGGCCATTTGATACATATTCAAAGCATCATAGCAAGGTGACTCACGGAAGAGACCAGAGAGGAGAGTTCTCGTAGTTTAAGCTGGCCATTTCTTCATACATTGTTGACGTACCTGCGATGTGATATTGGCGCTTCTGCTTTGGGAGTGTATACAGCGGCTGTACAGTAGATCAGACAGCCGGCTGCTGTGGCGGAGGCCTATGCGCATAGACACATCTCAGCTCATCGAAATACATATCTTGAATCAGCTGGTGTGAATGGCAGTCAATCTGGCGGGAATCATACCTGGATCTCTCACAGGCACTTTCTGGCTTGCAATCCTCGATGTATCCTATAAATATCAGTACAGTGGATCGGTTCTGTGTCAAAGGAGAGAACTTATCAGGTGACTCAGACACAAGCCTGCATGCCTTTGTAGAGTGAGGTGAATGAATTGTAGAGTGGATCGCCGGGGGAAGAGCACG